GGAGGTGGGATGTAACTATGAGGCTGAGGCTGAATAGACCTGAGAAGGGGTAAGCTGGAGGTAGGAGAAGACAGGATGAATGGGAGCAGTTTTGGATTGAAGGGTGTCTTGTGGTCATGTCCTTTAGGCTGAAGGCCCAGCAGACTTGCTCAGTGGCATTGGCTCCTTAGGCTGGCATCTTAAAATAGGCAACTATAACCAAGGAAATAAAAAAATCTTTGCTGTGCTTGGATATGACAATGTAAGAGTGTATAGGAGTTAATCAGGATAAAACATCTGTGTTAGGACTGGACTTGATATGTATTCTGTTGCTGAAACTTGAACGCACTGGTTTTAAGGTATCAGTTGGGTTCTAGATTTTTCTTCAAATTCATAATCTTGAGTTTCTGTTGTAGGGGTTTTTTGGTCTATAAATTGAGCATGCTAATGCAATGCCTATTCATTTAAAGAGAGCCTGGGGAAGAGTATAGTTTAGTTATCACAATGACAGCAAAAGAAATTCTTTGCTCGCCACGTCTCCTCACATTGGTAAAGTTTTGTATAGCAGCATTGTAACCTGGACGGTCGAAATAAACCAAGTCAAAAATAATCCTCCAAGCATCTAGATTTTGGCTTAGCATGGCCCAGCAGTCGTACTGGTGGGAGATGGGGAAGGGGAGCAGAGTTACAGAGGTGAAAGTGTTGAGACCAGCTGTGCTGCCAGAGCAAGCACATCATGCTGCTGCGCACTGGAGCATCTGCGCTGAAGGATGCAGGTTGCTGGCATTATCCCAGTGAGGCAGTAAGTGAAAGCTAATGTGACATTAAAGGTTAACTTTAAGTAGTAATTTGCTGCTCATTTTTTTTATAGCAGGAGCATCATGCTGTTCTCTAACCGCCTGCAATCCCTTGGCTGCAGAAGTATCAGATATGTCTGCAGCTCTGCCTAAAGTAGAAAAATTAAAGCTCGCAAAAGGCTGGATTTGGGAAGAACTGTGGCTTTGGGGCACCACTGGTGGGGGATTTTTTGTTTGAATACGTAAAGGTCAAGTGCTCTTTAAAACATTTATATTCCAAAAATATAATTTCTGTTCCCCTCTAACTGTTTCACATTGAGTCCTTAGTAATTTCTTGTATTTTTAATTTAGAGATTGTTAGGCTCATGAATCTTTTCCTCTTTCATAGCCCTGATCCTGTGCCCTAGGGTTGGTGCAGCCCTGTGTTTTTAGCTGAAGCTCCTATCAAGGAGGACTCTTGTAGTCTGGGCGCATCTCTTAAATGGACATGAACTTCACCAACATAACTTAACTCTCTATAACAGCAAAAAGACTCTAAAACTGATGTAAGGTTTCTTTGCTTCTGCTGAAGTTGGTTCCCTTTCCGCTTGCGCGTTGTGAGTAAGCAAAAGCAAAGAGTTTTGTGCCTCGAGTTCATCTTTCAGTGGTGTGTTGATGGGGATCGTGCCCTCACTGCTCACAGGCTTTATCTGAGTGAGAAAATTGGCCTCAGGAATTTTGCAGTGACGCCTGCGTGTGAGAAGACGGGAGCTTGCTCTGACTCTCTGGTCTGGGGTTGCTTTGCACTGCTGGTGGTTAGAAGAAAACATGCTCATGAATGGATCAAATTTGACACTGGTTGTGTAGTCAGTCCTTTCAATAAAGCAGAAAGGTTAGCTGTGCCGCCTCTATGCATGCACTTTCCAGAGCAAAACTGTGTGTTAACTATAATTTTCCAGATTTGCAAACACCTCTGTGGCCACAGGGTTGGGTTTAATAGACGGACTCTTTTGGGGTGGTATGTTTTTTCAACCTTCACTCTACTTCAGTGAGTGTTTTATTTTTTTTTTCCCCTTCTAAAGAAGCTAATAAGTAAAAATGGGAATAAAATCAAGTATTCTTAAATGGCTGAGCTTCTGAGAATTTTTGTGTGTGTGTGACTGTGACTTCTGGAAGAAAAGCCCAAATGAAATGTGGCAGGCAAACCGTAATTAAAGAAAACTTGTAATAAATAACTCTTGATTAAAGTGTAAGTTATGGGAGTATATGAAAAACACAGACATTACACAACTCAAAATCATATCCTGGTAACATGCTTTAGAAATAACTGACTAATAAATGTCTCAAATTGCTGCCAGACTACTTTGAAAAGTCTTGGAAAACTAGGAGAGAGATAAAAATGTGACATCTGGAACCAAGTTACAATTTCTCATACAAAGCAGAAGAGTTGCAAAAGAAAAAGCCACTCTTGTCTCCCAGATGAAGCCTTCGTTGGCAGAGCCCACACGCGGCTGCTTGTTTGCTCCTGTCAAATACAGCAGTTCCTGGAATAAAATGGATGAGCAGACCCTCCTGTAATACCCCTGGGCAGGATTTCTGGCCTCACATTTTCTGCAGGTGTTAAGAAAAGGATGAGCATGAGCATAAAGATGCCAATTATAATTTTTTTCCTTCCACTGAACCTTTTTTCAGCTCTACTATATTCCTTGGTTGATTCAGTGGGAAAATACACCCTGCCATTTTATTACGTGGTCACTCAGTCCTGTATGGTCTTTTTGCAGTTTTCAGGGTCAGCCCTTACCTGTAACAGGCTGAGTTACTGGGTTATGATCATCAGTCTTTGCCATTTCGCTGCCCGTTTCCCTTTCTTTGAGACTATTCTGAAGAGCTCAAATCCCAGCAGAACTTCTGGGGACCTTACTCCATCAAATAAATGATGAGAATATTCCATTATTCTAACCATTTATTGATCCAAGCAAAAACCTTCCTTCCTTGTATGCTGTGGCAGTTTAGTTTCCTTAAAACCCTTTAGTGAAGGGTGTTGCAAACCCGTTTTAGAAATCCAGGTAGCCTGGCCCATCTGCAGGTCAGATCTTCCTTACCCACATGGTTGTTGGCTCCTCGGATGGGTTCGTGGAGCAGGAAGGGAGAAGCTGCATTGTCTTTTCCCAACTACAGAAGTAATGCTGGTTAAAGATGACAGGTTTCCGTATTCTTATTTATTTACCTTTGTGACTCATTGCTCTTCATTTTGTCTGTTTACTCCCTAAGTTCTTGACTGTTCCAGGAGTTGATCTGAACTTGGAGGCTTGGGCTGGTTTTTCTGTCCCCTCTGCAGAGCGTAGTAGTGTCAGTGTGGGAATCCTTCCAGCTTCTTCCCCAGTGTCTGCAGACGTAATAAATTCATTTAGACTTATCCTTGCCGAGTCTTGCTTTTTTATTCCTGTATCATGTGTACACACTCTGGCAGGCTTCCTGCTCTTGCAGAGCCTGAAGAAGATAACCACTAGTTCTGATGCCTCTTGCTAGCTGTCCCCCAGACTTTTCTGCACTACGTTAGCGTATTTTTGGTCTCTGCTGAGCCTTTCACATAACAAAGGAGGTGACAGGAGGTCGCTGCTCCTCTGCTGTAGCCTGGAGCAGTGCCCAGTCATGGAGCCCATCAAATAACAGGTCATTTTGGCATATTTTAGATACAGCATAAGCACATAGAGCAGTGAAAATTTAGGTTTTTAACATGTGCTGATTTCCAGGGTGCCTTTGGGGGCAGTGGGTATGGCATGCTGGGCAGGAAGAGGTGAACCCCAAACTGTCTGTTTGCAGACTTAAAATCAAAACTAAATTGGCTTTGACAAGACAGGATCTGGAGAGAAAATGTTTGTCGCTAAGCTGCAAGGGCAAAGGTGCTTTCAACTTGTGGTTGTGCTGAGTCTGCTTTAAATATTAGGTGGGATCAAAGCGAGAGGAGTCCTGTTTTAACAATGCCAAAAAGTTAAATTTCCCATTGCAAATTGAAGCCCAGTTAAAAAAAAATGCTATAAACCACAATAAAACTGCACTGAACAATAATTTCTTCCTGTAGCTCTTATTTGGAGACTTGAGAGAGCTTTGGAGAATTTAAGGTCCTGCTCAGCTCCTCACAGAGAGGTCCTGGGGGCTTTTCTATTTCCCATTTTCCCATTCCCATTTACATTTTGCAACTCAGAGCATGTCTCAGTAGCACTGTTTTATTTTGCTGAAATTATTTGGCTTCTCCAGCATTTGGGGAAGGGCTGAAATACTCTTTTGAGTTTATTTGAATTGCATTTGGGTGCATGCGTGGGGATCCTACAATAAGGTTTCTTCCACCCATTTCTCTGTTTCCTGGGGAAACCTTTTCTCCTCTAAACTTAAGTTGCAATGTGTCTCAGACCGTGTGTGTGAGGATTTTGATGTGTTTGGCAATATCTGTGGTCTCCTCCTTCAAGAGCCTAACTTTTTATTCCCCTCCCTCTGCCATAAACCTTTTCAGGTTTGTCATAACTTTGCAGTTTATTATAAATCATGCTTTCTGTTACCTGTATTGTTTTTGATAGTTCTCTGATGGTTGTTATATAGTGGAGCATCATAGAGCTGCTGCATGAAATAGCAATGATGTACAAAATGGAGTTGGCCCTTAATTTGATTTTATTTTTTTGTGAGATACCGGGGGTTCTGTCCCAGGTTTCTAGCCTGGTTGCCAGCAGTGAAACCTGCAGGACTTGGTATGGTCTGTTGGTGTGGGCACATGCTACGTTAAAAGCTTTCTTTGTCCATGTAGACATACCCTGTGGTGCAACTTCTCACCGCCTTTGATCTAATGAGCCCTGTAACCTTCTTTAACCATAGCAGAAGTGGTGATGTAGCTAAATTACCTGATTCTTGATAATCCATCATTAGCTGCTTGCTGTAGTTCATTCTTATGAGTTAGGAGCAGGGAAGTGATTTTGCATGGGTTTATTAATGACAGAAGAGAGTTTGAGCTCCTAGAGGGCTCCAGGCTGGAGGTCTGGTATCTGCTCCGGCTCCTACTCCTGCTTAGGCAGTAATGTGCATCCTGCAGAGGATGAGTAGCTGCTCCTGGGGCTTTTAAGGAATACAGAAGAGTCGAGATGCCTATGAAAGGAAGCAGACGTTTGGCAGCTGTTGAAACTGGGACTATACGTCCACATAAAGAACTTTATATGTCAAGTAAATGGTGCTGCTTCTGCAAAGCGGTATTGATAGTATGTGTGGCCCTTCTAAGCGTAGGGAAAAAAAATGGATTTCCTAGAGGGTGCAGAAATGGGGAGAGAAAGAGGCTTTCTGTCATTTCTAGTTATCAAGAAGTTTCTATAAGGATATCATAGCACACATGGTTTGTTGTCTTTGAAAGTTCAGATTTCATATGGTCCAAAGAAATTTTGCAAGAGACACAACTACGGTTTTGGTGGGGAAGGCTGCTGCTCAACAGGACTGCACTGCGTTCAGCAGTAAGGGTTTCAACTCGGCACATTACGGAGTTTTCTTGCTATTCTGGTGTGATTTTTGGTGCGAGGCGGGGTCTTGTTGAGAAAAGTGCTTTCCTTCTCAAGTGCCTTAATGCGGAAATGAAAGCAGTGACCAAGCAGAACATCTTCAGAGCTGAGGTGAAAGATTTTGTTTTCCTTTTTTAGGGGAAAAAAAAGGAAATGAACCACAGAGGACATGGTTTAAGAAGGGATGTTGTTGTCAGGAAGGGCTAATTGTGGAAGTTGCTAGGGTTGCCGTGGAAAAAGAAGATAAGCAGGCTAGCCAAAGAGCTTTGTAGTGTTAATGTGATGCTAGAGGAATGTGTTGGAGCTTCCTCCAAACCCAAAAGTTTTCTACGGTGAATTAGGGGGATAAAACCCCAAACAGAATAGCTGGCTAATAGAACCTTTCTTTCATCAGACATGTCAAGTGTGCCAGATGATGCTGCCTAACCAGTGCAGTTACTGTGCTCACCAGAGGATCCACGCTCACAAGTCTCCATACTGCTGCCCGGAGTGCGGAGCCGTCTGCCGCTCTGCCTATTTCCAAACTCACGTCAAGGAGCACTGCCTGCATTACTCCCGCAAAGTCGGATTCAGGTTCGTGCAGCTCCAGAGGGTCCACGCCGAGATGGTGAGAGGGTGGGAAACTGGGATTTAGATCTTTGGAAATGTGTTTTCCTTACAGCAGAAACGAAAGAGGATGTAGCTCGGGCCTGGCGTGGTTTTCTGCATGACAAAACACATTTGAAATAGGGAATTACTAAATGGATTTAAGAGGAGGTTTCTGAGAGCAGAAATTATTTTGAGGCAGCTTTAAGCTGAAAGACACTTGTGTTGAATTCGAGGTGCATATGGACGTCTCAGGATTGATATTTACAGCACAAAGATTGCAGATCTTAATCCTCCAAATCTCTTTAAGGTTTGAACTTATATTTATGTCAGTTATAATGGACTGAGGGATGTGTGCCTTCACGAGAAGGGCATAGATTATTTTCTTGTGTGCCCCTACAGCTCTCCAAACGCTTCTCATGAACTGAGACAGATGGAGGAAGGCTCCCAAGGTTCTGGATGCGGTGGTGTGTATGTGCGTGCATTGTCTTTTCTCCAACCAAACTGATTGCTTTAATAAAAGACATTACTTTTCCCTACAAGCCTTTCCTCCTTGGCGTGTTTAGATCACCTCAGCTGCAGCACAGCTCTTAAGCTGCAGATGATTTGCTTGGGAGATGAGACTAGGTGACCTTTTAAGATTCCTTAAAATTCTGGTTTTTTCTCTGATTGCCATTAAATACTTTGAAATTTAAAAGGAACAGGGCAATTTCTGCTCCTGGAGCTGTTCTTTAAAGATGACTGCAAATGCAGGAAGCCTCCACTGTGTGGTTTGTTCTGAAATCACGCTTAGGTTTTCAAGGCTTTTTTATTCAATTGTGAAGACAAGAGACACATAACAAACCGATTCTGAATTTTATTATATACAGGTAAGTTTTTTTTATGTGGGATCTGATTCGAGGGGGCACAGCCCGCAACAAAGAATTAATTCCATTGCAAATTAAATGCCTATGATACTCAGGCTGTTTGAAAATGAGTTAATCTGAGAGAAGGAGGAAAGCTGGGGAAAAAAAAAAAATGTTTTCCCTGAGATGGAAAAATGGGAACAGTCGATGTCAGAAAACTAACCATGGGTTTGGTGCAGTTCTTTGGACTTCACTGGCACCTGGGAATCCCAAATGCAGGCACAACTTCATCACGCTGAGCTGCTTGAGCAGCATCCCCATCGATGCCTCGGCTAATAATGTGTCACAGGGTTACACTGGCCAGAGCTGTGTTAGATAGGAAGCTCAGCCTTTTAGCAGCGATCCAGTGCAAGTCCTTTCTCCCCTATTTTCAACTGATGGGCTTCCGGCATACAGCAGAGCTTGGTCCTGACTCTTAAGTGTATGACTTGGCATTTTTTAAAAACATTATTAATTCCAGATGTATTATAGTAATATCTTTATGATACCTTAATCCTTGTCAGCAACAAGAGCTTTCATCCGTCGACAGATGTCGTTAGCGAATATCTGCTTTCTGTGCCAGGGACATTAATGAAGAACTACACCAAGACAGAGCTCAAGAATGATACTTACAGATTTTTTAGCTTTACTCAGCTTCTCTAGAAGCTAAATTTCTTTAACTTCTCCTCTAATTTGCATCTGCTCAAGCTTATCTGTGAAAACTGAGTCCACCAGACAGGTGAACTTCTGGCTGTGCCCTCCTTGTTATCTTGCCTGAATGTACTGCAGGGTTGATGTCATTGGCATTGCTGAAAACAGAAGAAATAAATTTCAGTTGCAAAACCGTGTCTAGATAATCTGTGGCATCTGCCCTGTAGTCGCGTAGCAGCTTGACATCTTTTCTTTCACTTCTGTTACTTGCAGAGCTGAAAAGCTGAAGAATTCTTTTAAATCCTTCTGAGGATCAGCTGGACTTTTGCTGCTTCTCACTATCTCCCTGTTTCTCTTGACTTTCTGATGCATAACTGGTTTTGGTTTTGTCATCAGTCCTTATTCTGTCTCCTTATCTGCTAATAGCCCAATACATTCAATTAAGTTTGGAGTAAGCTGGTTTTATTTGGATTTTAGTCATGGCTAGTGATTGCACCGAAAATGAGAAAGGTCATCTGCAGTTAAAAATTATGGTCAACAAGCCTGTCCTAAATGCTCCTTTCCACTTGGCTCCCCTCCTTTTCCAAGCACCTTCCAGCTATCCCCCCTAATTTGGGGTTTTTGCAGGTTTTCTGCTCAGTGCCATCTGCTGCTGAGGGGACCAAAGGTGATGGCATAGGAAATGTTCAGAGGGTTAAGACATCTTTATTTTCTCTCGCAGGATGCTTCCGAAGACTTTTACACAACCCCTTCTTGCCCTGAGGCTATCCAAGAGTCTTTTCTTGCAAATTATTCCGGTGCTGGGGAGATGATAGCAGAATTTGCAATTTGCAGAAATTACATGGCAAGCCTCTACGTCTTCTATCCTCTTTGTTCCGCTAATTAGTTTACTTTATCAAAGTTCATCCTTCTGGCACTGGGATTCTTGATTACAAAGTGGCTGTTGTTTAAACTTCCATTTACTCTAAATTAAATTAACTTGTGATCATTTGACCCTGAGTTAGTACTTATTTCATCCCTAATTCTAAATGAAGTAGTTACTGAAACTGAGCATAATGCAGAACCATCTCTTGTTAGTTCAGGGAATGTTTGTGGAAGAAGCTTGTGGAATATTCCTAGACGTACCAGCCAGATCTTACTGTCAAGATTAGCATTTGTTCTTCCAATTGTACTTGGGGAATTTATTCTTCCATAATAAAACAGTTCCTGGTGTTACTATACTAGAAAGTCTCTCTCCCCATCTTACATGTATGAGGATGTGGTGTGTTGACCCTGGCTGGATGCCGGGTGCCCACCAAAGCCACTCTTATCACTCCCCCTCCTCAGCTGGACAGGGGAGAGAAAAAAATATAACAACAGTCTCGTGGGTCGAGATAAGGACAGGGAGATCACTCAGCATTTACCGTCACCGGCAAAACAGACTCGACTTGGGGAAAAAATGTAATTTATTCCCAATCAACTCAGAGAGGAGCAATGAGAAATAAAACCAAATCTTAAAACACCTTCCCCCCACCCCTCCCTTCTTTCTGGAGCTTAACTTTATTCCCAATTTCTTTCTCTCCTCCCCCCAGCAGCACAGCGGACAGGGAATGGGGGTTGGGATCAGTTCATCACACTGTTGTTTCTGCCGCTCCTTCCTCCTCAGGGGGAGGATTCCTCACGTGCTGCCCCTGCTCCAATGTGGGGTCCCTCCCATGGCAGACAGTCCTCCATGACTTCTCCAGCGTGAGTCCTTCCCACGGGCTACAGTTCTTCACAAACTGCTCCAGCGTGGGTCTCCTCCATGGGGTGCAGTCCTTCAGGAACCGACTGCTCCAGCGTGAGCCCACTCACGGGGTCACCAGCAGCAAACCTGCTCCAGCGTGGGCTTCTCTCTCCCCACGGGCCACAGGTCCTGCCAGGAGCCTGCTCCGATGCAGGCTTCCCCTGGG